CTGGGTAGTTAGGGTTATTTCTTGTAGTCTTTTTCTGTTTACTCCATTTCGGTTTCAATGATCGTCGGAAAGAGTTGGTATGACTTATAAAATAATTTATAAAATACAAATAAAGAATAACTAAATAATAAAGATAAAATAAAAATAAAAATATTAGAACTCATTTAATAACATTTTTGTCTTGTTCAAAAATGAATTTTGTAAGTTTTTTAATGTTTCAAAAAGAGTAGTAAAGTTGTTATTTGTTAAACAATATAAATTGTTTAAGGTAATATATTTAATAGAATATAATTTTTCTTTTCTATATAATATAAAGAGTTTAGAAATTTATTTAGCTCCTATTAAGATCATATTTATTTTTTATAAACTTAATTTGTTTTGGAAAGTTTAGTTAATTTCTTTGAACTTCAAAAAATTATTACTATAAGTTTTCTTTAATGTTTTAAAATAATAGCAAGCTTTAAAAATTCTGATTTAGCTTTCTAATTCTTTGTATAAGTTCTATTTTAGAATTTAAAAATTATTTCATTCAATTGTTTCTCAAAAAGATATAGAAAGAGAAAATTAATTCTAATTAAAAGTTTGATATAATTTGTAAAAAAATTATTTTGAATTTTTATTAGATATCTTTTTGAAGAAAGATTAATATTGTAAGAGAAAAGTTTTCTTGTCTTGTTTCTAAATTGCAACTATTCAGAGAATTAATATTTTTTATCAAAAAAGTTATCGATTAGATCAAAATTAATTTTAATATGAAGTTGTTTAAAAGGATCTAGTTCAGTATTTCTAAATTATTATTATTCTGAATATTTTTGTCTGAAGATAAAGTTTCTATTAGTCTTCTATTAATTAAAGAGAATTGAGTTCTTATAATTAATAAAAAAGTAGTTTGTTTTTTTTTAAATTCAGCAATCGTGCTAATACTTTTATTTAATCAAATTCTAATCTATAATTAAAACTAAACTATTTAGTATATTCTACTATCTAGTAATTATTTCTAAATACTAACTCATCTGATTACTATTTTGGTACTTAAGTGTAATCTGTTATAGTAATCTTTAACCTAAGTACTTTCAGCCTCATTATATAAATACCTGAAGTTACCTCAAAGGAAGGATACTACAGCTTATCATATTTGCAAATTATGACCATAAGTTTTTTAAAACCTTCTATAATTTCTTTTAGTATACTATCTTTAGTTAATGTAAATTCTAAACTAAAAACTCTCCTATTTTCATCCAATCCTTTTTCATATACTGAACTTGCAGTAGTAATGTCTGAGGTATTCATTTTTTTTTTTTTCTTTTTTTTATTCTTTTTTTCTTGAATTTAGTACTAGTCTTCTTGTTTTCTTGCATTATTCCTATACTTTTCTCTCAAATATTTATTTTATTATAGTGTTTTGTCTATATATTTATGTAAACTTCTTCAATTTAAAAGTTCTACAGCATGTACCAGAATCTTGAAGAAGACTTTTCTGCTCTAATTACTTCTTTGACTTTTTCTGTACCTCTTTTATTTAGGATTTCTTATAACTATTTAGTATTCTGTAAACGCTTTTCCTCTTCTGTTATTTTTAAGAAGATCTGCTTTAGCTTTTAGAGATTTTACCTTTCTTCTTTCTTTTTATTATTTTGTATCTTTTTTTAGACTTTTGTACTTATTTTCACAATAGCTTTTTATGCTTTTTCATAATAGATAATATACTCATTTAATTCAAATTCTTTAAAACACTTTTTGCATATACTATCACTATATATATTAGATTTTTAAATGTTTAGTATTTTAACAGTAGAAAGTAAATTCTTAATACATTTGACCTTGAATATACACAGATAATTTGCTTTTATACTTGTTTCTTTTTGTTTATAACAACTTTTTAATAAGCTTTTAAATGCTTTCTAGTTCTAGTTTTCAAGCTAATATTAGTACTATTCATCTTTCTTTTTTCTTATTTAAGTCTACTTAGCTTTATATATTGTTTGTACTATCTTTTTAATGAAAGTTCTTAGTAGTGCATCAAGTTTGTTAGCTTCTCATTCTAGTAAAAAGTTTATATTTTTAATACTAATATTATTAATTTCAAGTATTGAGCTTTTATTAGCTTCTTCCTTTGCAAATTAGTTTGCTAAGTTATTATATATCTCTTATGAATAGGTTTTAACTTTAAGTAACTTAAGCTGCACTTTCTTGCTCCTATATGCTTTAGTTATTACTTGTAATATACTATTGTTTTTAGCTTTTAGCCAAAGTCTTGTACTTTTATTTTTAAAGCTTTTTGCTATTACTGCTATTACACATGAACTATTCATATATATTTCTAATAAGTATTTATTAGATACTATTAAGATTGCTACTAGACATGCTACTAGCTCTGCTTGAGTAAATGAAAACTATTTTTCTATTTTATATTTATATCTACATACTATCTTATCCTATTCATCTATTTGTACTATACTATAACCTATCTTTTACTATGTATTCTCTCTTTGTAGTAGGGTTGGAGGCATGGGCTTTAGGGGCATGCCTTATTAGGCATGTTCTTTGACCAAAAGGCATACCTTATCATGTGATCTATAACATTAATATGATTAGTTAATTTATATAATTATTGTCATGCATATTGTACAATAATTTTGCAAATTTTGGTTTAAATACTGCGCACAACTAGAGATAGGCAAAGTAACATATTACTACTTATTATTTTTAATTATTTCTAACAATTTTTTATATAATAAATAATAATAAGTAAAGATGCAAAATTCGATCTGAACAACAAATTATTGAGTTTAAAATTTTACTCTTCAGATTATATTTGAAAATTGTAATAACGATAACGATAAGTAATAATCATACATCATAAGCAATAATTGATAATAATATGTAAGTTTAAGTACTAGCTAAAAAAATAAGTAATTATTACTTACATTATTACCTTGTCCATCTTATATGCATAACTAACGATTTATTAAACTGCACCTAATTTAAATACTGTGCTCAAAGCTGAAACCAAATTTTTAAAACTACACCTAATTTAAATACTGCGTTCAACTAAGCAATTTTTCTTTTAAAAAAAAAATTGCTAATTTATTTATTATTGAGACTATTATCAAATGATTTCGCACTTTAACATATTAAAATTATTTTTACTACTAAAAATTAAATTATTTCGCACTTTATCATACTATTAAAAATTAATTTATTTCATTAATGTACTGCTAAAAATTAGATTATTTCGCACTTTAACATGATACTAAAAATCAACTATTTCACACTTTAACATAATAATAAAAATTAATTTATATAAATAGCTTTGCGATATATTGCTATTTAAACTGAATTCAAACGCTTTTAATTTTAAAACTAAATATACACTAAATGGATTCAGAATTAATTTTAAATTCGAAATTCTTTAACGATCTGAGTAAAACTTCGTTTCATCTAAATTGACTCTAAATTAGTAAGATTCCATTTCGATATACATTGTATATTCATATACATATAAAGCTAGAACCTTAATATGGTAAATGTTAGTGCTGATTTGAGTTTTGAGATAATTTTTACTATAATTTTTTGTTAGTGAATTAGTTCTAAAAAAGTACTTTAAACTGTATAACTAAGAGCTTCTATAATGATTTTTTGATGAAAATTTTTATTTTTGTTTTGTGCTATTTTGCAAGTGAACTTTTTTAAATGAATAGACTTTTTTGGTATTGTAGATTGCAAATAAATTGTAAGTTTAAGGAATATGATATAAACAGCGAATAGTCCATTTAAGAGATGCTACAAAATCACTTTTAACACTATATAGTTTTATTTCTTTTAATTTCTACTTTTGCATCTTCAGAATCTTATGCTTGTTTCATGTAAACAATATATAGGATTGTTCTTTTAAATAATGTTATATTCCAGGTTTAATTTCTGGGCAGTGCGAATATTAACTCCTATATAAAGATGTGTCTATAATAAGTCTGTTGGTAGATAGGTGCCATTTAATAGAAAAAAAGAGAAATCTCTTTTCAAATCTGGTTAAACTGACTAGATTTAAAAAAAGATTTCTCCTTCTTTATTAAACAGCATTTCAGATATCAATTTTTTTTTATTAATCAATAAAGGATCAATGATACATTGCATGTATTACTACTTTACCCTAATACCTGTCGAAGATCGAATTTGGTAAAGGCTATAATCCTGGCGTATCTGATACGAGAAATTATAGATTAAAACTAGCTGTACAATTAATGCACTTGTATAAAAGAGTTAAAGCGATATACAAGAATTTTGTAGGATTACTTATTTATAATTATTTCCTCATTAGTAAAAAATTTATTGTCAATACAAATCCAAAATTAGTTGTATATTTAAATTCTAATATTTCCAAAATTGGTGTATATTTAAATTCAATTATATCCAAAATTAGTTGTATATTTAAATTCTATTTTACCTTTAATTGTTTTATGCTAACTAGATCATTGCGAAACATGATTGTATAATTAAGATCATTCTGAGAGAATTGCATAATAAATTGTTCAGTTGTAAGAAAAAAGATTAGATGCTGTAGTGAAGATTTTAGATAAATGTAAAATATATATAGATTGTGTGGTTTGACTTTGTATTAATTTTTAGAACTGCCTAGGTTCAGATAACTTTTAGATAGATAATACATATTTAATAAAAATTGTATTAAAAAAAAAACCAAGCTAATAAATTTCTATTTCTCTGAAATAAAATTATTAAAAATATGGAAGAAATTGTTAGTTCTACTACTGCTCAAATTCCCTCTAGCTTTGCTTTGCCACTTCCAACACAAGGTAAACGCTGGACAGGTTTTTATCGTTCTATATTAAAAAAAGCAAAAATAGATATATCACAAAGTGCCGTTATTGCTTGATTGAACTAAGTAGCAAATCTGAAAAGCTTAATAATTACGTTCTTCGATTTAGCGATAGGCCTCTTACAGAAAAAACTAAATATATTCAAAAAGTTAAAGAAAAAAGCCTTATACCCCGTAAATGTTTTAATAATAGTATTGACAATGACAATGATGATGAAGATTTATTTACTGATTCAAATATCTATGATGATAATGATAATAACGTGCAGCAACTTCCTGTGTCTCGCCAAAATACAATTTTTAATTGGTGTATTCGTCCTTTGTCTCAAGTACAGTCTGAAAAGCTTCATCAAAAGCTTTTAAAATCTATTATCCACAGAAATATTTCTTTTCAGTTTATTAATAACCCGTATTTTCAAAATTTTCTTCATGACCTAAATTCTTCATATAGTTCACCTTCCCGAAGTATGGTCAAAAGACGTTTATTAACTGAGATGTTCTCAGATCATATTCAAGAAAAGTTAAGTACACTTTCGACTCTAACTGATTTGATGATTTCTCTTGATAGATAAATAGATAATTTTGAAAACTCAATAAATGGGTTTATAGCTCTTAAAGAGAATAAAGAAACAGTAATAGATATACTTAACTTGTTTGCATATTGCCATACAGGTAACTTTCTTTATAATAAATTAAAAGAAGTTTTATTTGCAAATAGCATTCAAATAAAAAAATCTATTATCATCTACGTTACTGATAACCTATCGAATATGGGCAAAATGAGACGATTACTTAATATAAGTATATATTCAAATAAAATTAATATCTGTTCATACATCCAAATTGTATATTTAATACTTACATTAAATTATTAAATTTAGGAAAAATACCTAATATAATCTCTATTCATTGTTGTTTGCATGTCTTTAATTTAATTGTTAAGGATATTTCTGGTTTTCCTAACATTATAACAATTTGCAAAAAGAATCAAAAACTAGTTAATTTCTTTAATTCATCACATATCTGGTATTATGAATTACAAAACTAGCAAAAAGATCAAAAAATTAGACATTTCTTAGATACATTCTACAAAACTAAATAGTATTCACTAGCTAAAATTTACATAGGTATATCAGTCTATAAATAGGGCTTTCAATATTGTCTTTCGTTAAGCGAAAATTATCAGCATAAATACTTTGAAATTGAGAATATAACAGTTAAGAATATTATCTATGACAAATATTATTTCACGAACAATGATGTATTAACACAAGTAATAAAACCAATAGTCAATGCTATTGGAAGACTAGAGTCAAATGACTCTACTCTGGCTGATATATTCAAAGAGCTTTTCTAAATACATAGACAAATATCACAGCTTGAAGTTACTATTAATAGTTTTAAAGCTCATATTCTTGCTATTATTAGTAAATGTGCAAGAGAATTCAACAGTGACATTTTTTTTATTGTACTTTTTCTTTCTCTAACCTATAAGCAACTTGCAATATCTAAAAAAATGAATAAAGAAACAATAATGCGTGCTTTACTTGAACTAGCTAAAGCTTAGGGGTTTAACAAACAAGATACAACTCTTTTGCTTAATGAATTAATTAATTATAAGAATAATTACCCTCTATTCGACAAACCTCTTTCTGATTCTTCACTATCTTTACGATCATTTTGAACCAATTTTACTAGACATTTCCCTCTTTTACGCCACTTTGCAATAAAAGTTTTTGCTATCGTTCCTCATGCAGCTAGCTGTGAATGACTTTTTTCATCCTTAGAATTAGTCAAATCAAAAATAAAAAATAGACTAACTCCTAATAATCTTTCAATTATCGGACAGCTCAGAAGTGAGCTAAAAAAGACTATATCCACAAAAAAGAAAAATAAGACTGTTATTAGGCTATCAATTCACGAAGAAGAAAGCATTAATACCTTATTTGCTGAGGAAGGCAAGTTAATAGAGAAGTTGAACGAAGAGTTAGAAGAAGTTATAGTGGATATGGATGAAATAGATCTCATGGAAGAGTTTTTTAACTTTGATGTATTTGAAAGAAGTCAAGAAGCACTTAACTCAGAACCAAGTAGAAGCAGTATACTGGTAGAAGAAGGGGAGTAGTCTATTGATAATATTCTTAATAATTAGAGTCAATATTAAAATATGTAAAAAGTATAAAAGTTTTAAGCTTGTATATAGAGTTAGGTATTTTCGAATTTTTTACCTAATTCTATTAGTATTAGATAATAAAGTTCAATGAACTGTCTATTACACAAATAATCTAATTAAAATATACATTCATTTCTATATTTGAACTACTAGTTAAACTGTAATATACGTAGATCTTATTAAAACTCTTTAGAGTTTATTCAATAAATGATAAAACAACATTTGTCTTCTTATTTTTGCTAAATCGTTACCTTAATTACTTTATTTTATGTTGTTGCTCAAATGTAAAATTTTACTAGTTTAGCTTACATATATACCTTTTTATATACTAACTTTATCGAATAAATTAAAGATGAAAGCTTGTGGATTAAAATGTTATAGGGCTGCACGAAAGCTTCAATTTATTTAGAACACTTGATCTAGTTAATAATCTACTCGAGCTTCTAAAAAAAAGTATTGTAAAATGTATAAAAATTTTTTAAGTATAATAATCGTTAGTAAATTAGTCAATATATGATCTAATTTAATAAGATATTTTTTACTGTATAATAAAGTTTAATAAGTCTTGTATTTTCCGATATAGACATTGAATGAACTCAAATTACGAGCAAGGGCAATAAAATTTTTTTGAGATAAATTCTGAGGAGTTCCGATAAGTTTTTTTTTTAGATTTATTTATACAGAGGGCATGCCTGAGAGCATGCCTAGGTCAAAGGCATGCCCTTCTAGGCATGCCTCAAAAATTTCCTATGCCTTCAACCCTATTTTGTAGTGATCTATTTGTTTGTTTTTTTTTGGTTATTAAGGCCATTTCCTTGGCTGATTAGATTTTTATTAGTTTGTTATTATGGAACTATCACATAAATAGTTTTTTAAGGTTTTACAGTTACATAATAAGTGTACAACAAGCCACATGTACAACTTTAGTCATTGTCTAATTTAAGTAGTCTGCTATACAGACGATTGACCATCTGTT